CCTCTTTCCCTGTGGAGATATAAACAATACCCTTCCCTTGGGTGGGTTAGTGCCCTGTGCCCCCGCTACCCATTTCTTTTTATATCCCCCCCACCCCAGTCGTATCCCTGGTTTTGGTCTGACCCCTGCCATACTACCTGGTCCTCGCCCCAGGAATGTTTGTGTACAGTAGCTTTTTCCCTATGCCCCTTTTGCATTTTTTTTAAAGCTTACCTCAGCAGACTTGTCCTTTTGTGCTTGGCTTACTTCGCTTAGCATGATTTCCTCCAGTTCTTCCCATGCAGCAATGTACTTCATGTGTTCATCACTGCTTTTTAGCGATACGTAGTGCTCCATTGTATGTATGTACCACAGTTGTTTAATCCACTCGTCAGTTGATGGAAATTTGGGTTGTTTCCAACTGAATTTTTTTTTTAAACAAGCATTACAATTTTTTTTCAGACTTTTAGTGTCCTCAAATTGTTTCATGTCAGAGTTATGAGTTACAACGGGAGGGTTTCTCTGGCAGGGAGTCCTACTGTCTGTCGCCTGAGCTCTGCGAGCAAGTGCTGCCTCTGTGGTTCTCTGAGCAAGCAGCAGACCTGAGCCCCAGCAGACATGGTGAAAATGCTCACAGTGGGGTGGCTCCCAGGGTTTCTGAGAATCTGCATTTCTAACAAGTACCCCAGGGCTACTGGGGCCAAGGGTACCTTGCTGTACCAGTGACATGCTGTGTTTATAAAAATTCCCAGCCTGGGGGAGTGTTTGTTGTAAACTCTGGTCCCCAGGATTGGCTCTCTCTCTCTCACCCTGTCTGTGTGTGGAGGGGTCAGCCAGGCATTTGCAAAATTCTAATTCATGACTTCCCATTTGTACATTCTGGTCCTGAATAAAACCCTGTAGGGCTATTATCCTGGGCAGGAGTGGGAGGGTGGGGGCGCAAAAATGCAGAGGCTGATTCTTGCTGAGTTTTATGAGGCTCTAACTCTACAGGAGTAGAAAACCTCATCTTTCTTTCTGTAACAGTTTTATTGGCATATAACTCACTCATCATACAATTCAACAGTTCAGTCACATCAAGAACAGTTGTGCAATTGTCACTCCAGTTTTAGAACATTTTCTTCATTCTTGTACTCATTATTATTAACTCTCATTTCCCCTCAACCTCTCCTGCCATGTTTCAAAGGAACCATTAATTCAGTTACTGTCTCTATAGATTTACCTATTCTGAGTTTCACATACAGTAAGACATTGTTTTTGAAACCTGAAACAATAACAAAGTAAAACAGATAAAAGCCTCAATTGAAAAGAAAGCAGAAAATATTAAAAATTAGAAAAACTTTGAATGGATTATAATGGAGATCAAATGATCAAAGGATCACTAAAATTTAACCTAATTGCATTTACAACCATTCACTCTCCAACGCATGCTGCATGACAAAAAGCCTCAGCTTTCTCCCAAAGAGCAGTTTGGTGGTTTTGAATTGCTGACCTTGTGGTTTGCAGCCCAACACATAACCCACAATGCCACCAGGGCTCCTTGGAGGATTTATAGCAATGAAGGTTTACCTATGTAAACCTTGTCAAATTTACGTAGGAGGTTGATTACTTCATGGCCAGCAGGCAGCATGCCACATGGTTAGAGGGACCCATCATTGCGCCCCATAATGACAACATAGTCCAGAAAAAACAAAAAGGAAGACTATCCCCCCTGCCATGTTTATAAAAGTAACACAGGGTTGCTTTAGAGAATTTGGAATATACAAAAAACACAAAGAAGAAATGAGAAGCACTCATAATCCCATAGACATAAATCCAATCATGAATATGTTTGTATTGAGTTGGGATCAATCACATACTTTTTTTTAAAGTGTATGTTCTTTTCCTCCTTAATGTTCTATGATGAACATTCGCTTAAGTCAGTGGATACACTGTGAAAAGAGACCCAATTAGACAAGTGCTGGAAATTCAGAGTGGCAGGAGGACACACAGATGGAGGAGGGAAAGGGGCGCCTCACCATTGTTTCTCAAACCACACCGAGCGTGGTAGCCTGTTCAATTCAGTGTCAACTGGGACTCTCCTGGAGCAGAGTGATAGAGGTTTTGCAAAAGCAGTATCTGTGAAGAGAGAAATACCTTTAAGCAAACATCAGATGTTAGAGGAGAACTGCTCTATAGGGTTTCAGGGACTGATTGTTCAGGAGTAGATGACGGCCCTGTCTTTGGGAGTCCTCCTGAGTGAACTTGAGCTACCATCTCCTCACTTAGCAGCCAAACCTGTTGAACATTTGCTTCACCTGGGGACTTTACTGGATGTTCCGCAAGCTGATAATGAAGATGTGAATCTTGCCCTCAGACAGCGTGCATTGGAAGGTGAATTACTTCCACCACTACCCCTGACCAGCCCTGGGTGGAACAGTCTTCCTTCGGGGCTTGTCTGCATGTGTTCTTGATAGAGCTCACCATACTGGGGGTCACAAGGGCATAAGCCATGCCCTGACTGCCTAGGGGAAGCCCCTGGACCAATATTGCAAGCTCCTATGTCTTACATAATGCAAATTTCCCAATCATGGCCCCGGGCCCTCTCTGGAAATCCCACCAGTAACTTTGTTACATTGATCTGCTGTCAACCACGTTTATGTGACTGTCTTCTCTTGCCTCCCAGGTTCTTGAAAGCTACACCATATCCAAGGGAGCCCCTGGGCACCAGTCTGACCTCGTACTAATAGTCTCCTTCCCCCAGATAATATGTGTCTGTAGTTGTCCTGTCCTCCTTTGCTTAAGACTTAATAAATGAAGGGTCTGTTTATAAATTTGTAAAAATCTGAAAAATAAAAACACATTATTCTTCATTCCTGAAAGTTACATTGTGGTGCCTAAATATGAAACTATGAGGTAAGTATTTTATATCATAGCCTGTGCTCAAAAGTAAAACTATCCATTGTGCATATTAGTCACACTTTTCCACCTATCTCCCTTCTCCCGCTGTCACTTTCAAGAAAGATGATTAAGGGTTTGATAGGGGAAGAGGACACAAATTGTGTATTTCATAACATTTATTTATTTTATTGGTGGCTCTTACAGCTCTTACAACAATCCATACATCAGTTGTATCAAGCACCTTTGTACATATGTTGCCGTCATTTTCAAAACATTTTTTTCTACTTGAGCCGATGGTATCAGCTCCTCTTTTTTCCCCTCCCTCCCTCACTCTCCCCTTCTCATGAACCTTCTCATGAAAATAATCTATAATTTATAGATTTATCTATAAATTATAGATTATTTTCATATCTTACACTGTCCGCTATGTCAGCAAGGAAAATATTGTGATTGAGGGAAGTGTTGAGGATTGTTGAACCAAATTAAAAACCAATTAAGTTCTTCACAATTGTTTTCAATTATATGTGTGTTGGTTTTTGGAACAGCTCCAAATTCATAGTGACTCAAGGAAAAAACAAGTTTATTTTCTCATTTAAGTAAAAGTCTGATATTTTAGCTCCACAGTCACCCAAATCAAGACTCCTTCTATCTTATTGCTTTGGTATCCAAGACGGTTGCCCTAGCTCCCACCCTCATTGTCACATTTCAGCCAGTGGGAAGGGAGGCCTCATCTTGCCAGGGAAGATCAAAGCATTGCATTTATTACTTGCACTAACAACCAATCATTGGTCAGAACTTGGTCGCATATAGCTGCAAGGGAGTCTGGGAAGAGTGCTCTTAGTGTGCCAGCTAAAATGCCGGAGTTCTATAAGAAGAATGAAAGAATCGATCCTGGATTCTTTCAGCCTGTAGTCTCTTGACACCATGCCAGCCTTCCCTGTGAGCGTATGAGACAGATGAAGCCCTCTCCCTTGTGCTCTGTTTTCTGTCTGAGGGATGCTCCTGGGCACTCTTTCGATGTTTCCAGATGATGGCTCCGAGACTCCTGAAGAATTAGACGAGGAGATCCCCGTGGTGATCTGTGCTGCGGCAGGGAGAATGGGTGCCGCCATGGCTGCCATCAACAGCATCTACAGCAACACGGATGCCAATGTCTTATTCTATGTGGTCGGACTCAGAAACACTCTGTCTCGAATACGGTAATGCGGCGCACTGTGGCATTCGGGTGCTTTCTGTGTTCTTTTACTTAAATGGATACCTTTCTTCCTTTCTTTTGGATTTGATGAGTACCATTGGAATTAAAGAGGCGGGTGCCAAAGGCCTGTGTGGTGACCTGGCAAATGTGTGTCCTAAGCCAAGACATTTCAGCCAAGCCTCATTAAGCTAGTATGGAAACGCGTCATTCTGAAGTAAACCGAATAGCCCATATTCTGAACTAGCTTCTATGAAAAAATGTCTTTCTACAATTGCTTGATTTTCCCCTGCTTTCTTAACCCGCGAGCAGTTCACATAAGAAAAAAATGCAAGTTGTCAATAAACCTGAAAAGGTGTTTTATATTAATAGGGATATGCAGATAAACTCAATAATATCTAAATATTTACTTGTCTCATTGGTAGCAATTAAGTAAATTGATACTACTCATTGCAGGGAAAATAGACATTTTGTTTCTGTTTTACAGAAATATGTATTTTATAAATTGGAAAAACTCTTTGAGAGGGTCCATTCACTGCCTTCAAATTGATTCCAACTCATAGTGACCCTAGAACAGCGTACAAGTGTTCCTAGGGTTCCCAAGGCTGTAAATATTTGTGGATGCTTACTGACAGTATGGCAATATCTCTTAAAATATTGCAAGTATGTGAGCATATAATGTGACCTATGACTTCCACTTCTAGGAATCAGTGCTGTAAACATTCTTGCACCTATTGCCAAAATGCATGTAAAATAGAGTTAATCTCAGCATCATGTCAAAAAGTAAAAATTGAGAAAGGGCTAAAATGAACCAATCATGAGTAAATGTTTAAATGACTTATGGAATTATGGCTTAGTTATGTAAAAAAATAAGTCGATTTGTAGGCACTGACAGAAAAAATCTTTAAGGCATTTCATTAGGTAAAAAATGCAAGCTGTAATTAAATTCATAAATAATGTTCCACTTTATGAAAACAAAACCTTCAAGGTATAAATATGCACAAGTATGTATGCAAATATCATCCACTTATGCATCCATAAACTATCCATCCATCCATCTACATATCTACACTTTTCTAAAGAAAAATAATTAGAAAAATATTGAACTGTTAACAGTGACCTCACTCTGGGGAGAGTGGAGGAATTGAAGATAGAAGTGATGAGTTTTGCTTTATTTTCTTTGCTGAAAGAGTTATGTGAATGAAGAAAGGAGAAATATATATGAAATTTGAAGTCAGACCAGATGGGCAAAGATCAGGAGGATTATAGACTAAACTTGATGAAGAGTTGACACAATTTTATTTTCCACTTTCTAAGGAGTCAGCATAAAATTTGAGGGGTTCAGTAGTAGAATTTTTGCCTCCCAGGCAGCAACCCCCGTTTCAACTCCTTGCCAGTGAAATCTCATGCCTAGGCACCAGATCTGTCTGTCAGTAAAGGCATGTGTGTTGCTGTGATGCTGAGCTTGTGCATGGGGGTGCCACAAATCTGAGGCAACTCCAGGTCAGCCAGCAACACGGGGGCTACAGACTGAACCTGAGCAGTAGGCTTTTGTTTGTTGTTTCATCTCTTCAGAAAATGGATCGAACATTCTAAGCTGAGAGAAATCAACTTTAAAATCGTGGAATTCAACCCGATGGTCCTCAAAGGGAAGATCAGACCCGACTCGTCAAGGCCTGAATTGCTCCAGCCTGTGAGTAAGAAGCACGCCCAGGCTGGGGGAGGCCTTGGTGAGACCCTAGTTCCACGTGGACATGCTCTCCCTCTGCCAATCAGGGGCAGCAGCATCCATTCCGATGTAGATGGAAGGGAACCGAGAGCTAAGCACTGGACTGCTAGCCACAGGTGTTTGGGATGGCAGTTTCACAGAAAATACTACCAGTGGCTACGTATGACGGTCACTCAAGTCCGCTCTTAAAAATCAACTCAATCGTGAGCCTCTCGCCTACTGGTAGGGTATTTCCCCCAGTTCTCTATGTAGAGGTCATGTTCGAGTGGGAGCTGAGCTGAGACTCAAGATAGTGTGGTGTTATTGCCAATAAACTGGCACGAACACACACACACACACACATACTCGCCCCCTTCTCAGCTCACACTCCTTTGACCGTTTTCTGGTTCAAAGAGCTGGCAGGTTGAACTTGGTGCTAGGATAGCGTGTGCACATGTGTGTTTTAGGCTGGTCAAAATTCATGGGTGTTGAGCTTCTCTGTGGCCTAAGAGTTGGGCTGGGAGGCCTCTGTGTTCACAGAATGGACTGGCCTCACACAGGGAGGCCTGCATCTTAGAGCAGCTTTGATACGGCAGTGCTGGGCCCAACCCCCCCAGTCCAGCCCCATCTAGCTCAGTGATGCAGCCTCACGACGCCCATTTATTTCTCCCTCAACTCTCCAGCACCCTTAGGAGACACCACACCATGGGCCTCTGCCTCACTGCTGTTCCTTTTGTTGTCTCCACAGCTGAACTTTGTCCGATTCTATCTCCCTCTGCTTATCCAGCAACACGAGAAAGTCATCTATGTGGATGATGATGTCATTGTACAAGGTACTTGAGAAGGTTCCCAGGACACTCAGAGAAGGAGTAGCTGATAAGTGCAATGATGGTCTCTTGATTTTCACAAGAGTTAGTTGCTCCATGGTGTGGTCGCTTATAACAGACGTGAGCACAGCCTTGTTTAAAACTGGGCAGCATCCCAAAAGCAACAGTTGAAACTCATTTCCCTGGCTGATCGGTTGACTTTCCAAGGAGCCATTCTCTGCCTGTCAAAGTATGCAGTAAATATCTTGGAACACTTTCCTTGTTCCGCATCTCTGACACATAGGGGAATGTGTCTCCTGATGACCTTCTCGGGGTGAGCCAAGTTTGGGTGTTTAATTGTGGCCAGCTCTCTCTCTCCCCCACATGCAAATAGGATTGCATTGGTGTGGGACCTACCCATACGTTAGAAATAAAGACATTTGGCCCATCTGTATGTATTACTAGGAGGCTTTGATATGAGCTGAACTTAAGTAAATTGCTCAGCTCCTTAAAATCAAGAATCCTCTCTTAAAGACTGTTTAAGCTCTAAGACCTTCTCTCGCTCCAAAACAAATGCCATTAAGATGTTAACTCTTGGAATTTCTGAACGCAGGTGACATCCAAGAACTGTACGACACCACCTTGACGATGGGCCATGCAGCTGCTTTTTCCAGTGACTGTGACTTGCCCACCGCTCAGGACCTAACCAAACTGGTGGGGCTGCAGGTGGGCACAGTCACTCTGCCATCCCACCTTTGTCCTCTCTTCTTCTCTCTTCCGTCCTTCCCTGTAGCTCAACATGAGTATAACGTGCACCTTCTAGAGCCCTGATGGTCAATCTGGACTGCCAGGAGGGGTAGGGTCCTGGGCCAGACTCCAGCTCCACCCCTTCCTGATTGAGGGCAATTACTTACCCCTGCAAGTCCCACTTTCCTGCTCTGAAAAAATGGTGACAGTTGTATCTACATAGCTGCGTGGTGATGTGAGTTTTGATGGTAGCCACCTCTGTGAGAGAGTAGAGCTCTCTCTCAGCCTTTTCTAGACCATCATGTCTACAAGAACAGATACACAGGTCTTTTGTCCCATGAGCAGCTAGATGGACCTGAACCGCCAAGCTTTCTATTAGCAGCTGAAAGCTTAACTGTTGGGCTACCAGGCACCATGGGAATAAATGACATGCAATAGGATGTCCAGCGTAAAGTAGGTGCTCCAGAAGTGATAAGTTGTGAACGTCAAGGCCCCACAGCAGGCAGGGTGTTTTCTCTAGCAGACCATTGCTGAACTCTGGCTCTGTGTGCAGTTTTGACTGTCACTTTTTCTTTCTGTAGAAGAAAGTGTTGACTGTGTTCAGAGCTAAAGACCTCCCTATCCTGGTAGAAATGAGGATTGTTGGGCCAAACTTAACATTGAAACAAACAAACAAGAACGCCTTAAAACACAAAGGCGATTAAGAATCACATCAATTAATGTTCCAGCAAATAATTTCCTCTCTGTGAGCCTTAAAGGAGCCTTTGTGGTGTGCTTATGCATTGGACTGCAATCCTCATGGTCGGCAGTTCAAAGCCACTAACAGCCCACAGGAGAAAGACTGGGCTTTCTACTCCTGTAAAGTTAGCCTCAGGAAGCCACGGGGGCTGGCTATGAGTGAGCGTTGACTAGAGTGTGGTTCCTTGGTTTGGTTACACTGAAGAGGAAGTACACTTTAGGGCCCAGGTTCTAGGGCCAGACCAGGCTTCACCTAAATCTCAGCTCCATCAGTCACTGGCTTTGACTTTGGGCAGGTTACTTGTCTGTTTCCTCATGTGCCAAATGGAGGCCGTTATAATACTTCTGTTATGAAGTGAGTGTGCAGATTAAACAAGCAAATATTTAACTGTAGACTCAGAGCCTTCACAAATAATAGAATTTGTTTAATATTATTTAACTTAACATTAATATTTTAATTTCATAGACTATTTCAAGCATATCCTAAAACAAAAAAGTAAAATAGCCTGCCATTTGTCCATCAAAAATAAATGAGTACATGTAAAGTTATTACATGTCATTAATGAGTTAATACACGTGCAGTTCTTAGAATAATGCCTTGCTGGTACACGGTGCTCAAGGGCTTCCGTGTCATACTTGAGAATCCCACTAAGGTCAATTCTGACATCCACTGGAGGGGAAGCAGCCTGTCCTTCATACTCCATTCATTCATCGACTGCCTACTGAGTGCTCGCCGCGAACCAGGTGCTGCTAATGCAGTAAATAACATAAGACAGTTTGCCTTTGTGTGGCTTATGCTTTAGTGGGCAGAGACAGACAGTAAACACGTGAGTAGAACCTTTAGTGGTAGAGATGGAGGTGGAACGTTGCATTTTTAAAAGGGAGGCCAGAGAAGGTAGCACTAAAATGATGGCATTGAGGGAGCCACACCGATGCAGGTGTTTGGGGGGAAGCATTCCAGGAGGACAGAAAGGTAAAGGTCTTGAGGTCGGGGTGTGTCTGGTCTATGATGGGAGCACAAAGGTTTATGTGGCTAAGGGATTAAGGGGAGGCCTGGTGGCACTGCTGGGTCAATGTTGGACTGCTAACTGCAAGGTCAGTGGTTCAAACCAACTGCTCAGTGGGAAACAGATGAGGTGAGGCAGTCTGCTCCCGTGAAGATTCACAGCCATGTATACCCTGTATGAGGTCGCTGTGAGTCAGAACAGAGTCAACGGCAATGGGTTTGGGAACTGATGGAGTTGGAGAGGTAATCGGGGCCAGGTGGTATAAGGCCTGGCAGGCTATTTCACGGATGCTGGCTTTTATTATGAATGTTTGGGAAACCACTGGGAGCAGACGAATAGACACAGGATAGGATTGATTAGACGAATAGAGACACAGGATAGGATTGATTAGACGAATAGACACAGGATAG